TCCTGAACAGGGTAAGACGGGAGATAATTTAGTCAAAGGTGGGAGAAAATATCAGTTGTATTAAGTAGAATTACAAATATATTGTCCTTATGGGAAATAGATTTATTTTTTATTTTTGAGCGTGAAAACAAAAATAAAAACTCTTACCCCGTCCTGAAATTAGAAAATCTTGCTTTCATACAGACGATAATAAATAATAAATAATTAATTACAACTCTATCAATATTTGTGAGTTTCCTTGCACCATATACTAAAGTGTACAGCAAAAATCTCCGGTGTCATGGTACGTTTAAAAATAAAAATGAATAAATAACGAGTTACAGATGTTCAGGTAAATATTTACTATATTGCAATAACTTAAAAGTGGTTAATGACATTTGTCTTTTTTGTGCTAATGGAAATGGTTTAGCCAGGTGTTTTAGTTGTTTTGTGCTAATGGAAATAGTTTAGCCAGGTGTTTTAGTTGTTTTGTGCTAATGGAAATGGTTTAGTCAGGTGTTTTAGTTGTTTTGTGCTAATGGAAATGGTTTAGCCAGGTGTTTTAGTTGTTTTGTGCTAATGGAAATGGTTTAGCCAGGTGTTTTAGTTGTTTTGTGCTAATGGAAATGGTTTAGCAAGGTGTTTTAGTTGTTTTGTGCTATTGGAAATGGTTTAGCCAGGTGTTTTAGTTGTTTTGTGCTAATGGAAATGGTTTAGCCAGGTGTTTTAGTTGTTTTGTGCTAATGGAAATGGTTTAGCCAGGTGTTTTAGTTGTTTTGATTACTTTTAGCTTCAACATTTACATAAGCATGTGTGTAACAGGGGAATCTATATGAAGTAAAATAAACATTCATAAATCCTTTAATCAATATTTTAATATGAAGCAATATAAAATTACTTGAATAATTACTTGATTAATTAATATAAAATTGATTGTTGACATGTTGACTCCGTTGTGTAGTGATCATGGTGACATAAGGGCGGTTCCTCATTGATATTGCCTTACAGGGGGGTTACATTCTTTACTGTTACAGAGTTCCTGACCGAAGCGCTGCACTGGACTGTCGATCCATACATGAGGTAACCAGACAGTTACTTTTTATCGATATCGATTTGCTATTCTCTTCTATCCCCACCTCCCCCAACCACATCGATATCGATTAGCTATTCTCTTCTATCCCCCCCTCCCCCAACCAACCAGGTGATTTTAATTGATAAGACTTGGAGATATGGCTCAAGGGAATCATATAAATCATAAATCAATCCGTGTATCTAGAATTTACTAAATACTGTGAGATGCTGATTGAAACACCATACTGTTAAGGTAAGTAAATATTACTAATATCATTTCACCACACGTTTTAAATTGCATGTGTAAATACGATGATGTATGAATGTTTACTCAACTTAAAATATGATCTTTTGTTACACGCATGGTCTATTTTTAAGACGATTACACTTTGATCTCCACAGGTCGAGTGAGACGGGATTACTAGTACCGGGACAATGTAGAACTAATGCATATAAAAAATCAGGTGGTATAGTAATTATTTTTAAGAAAACTCTCAAGTCGATGTTGACTTTTCCTAAAACTTTATCAGAATATGTATTGTGGGTAAATTTTTCAAAACACGTTGTGAACTCTGATCTAGATTTTCTACTGGGATGTGTTTATATACCTCCCGAAAATACTAAGTATGCATCCCCGGAAGCGTTCAATGAAATTGAAAGGGAGATGATAGAATTATCCCATCATGGTAACAAAGTCGCCATAGTCGGAGATTTTAATGCTAAAACCCAAGTTAGAGATGATTTTGTAGAACCAGATGATAACTTCATTCGTTCATTAAACTTAGATGAAAATGATGAGCTATACTCATATCTCTATGATATTGAAAAGTTGAAATTATATAATGTTCCTCTGCGAAGGGCTAGTCAATGTAAAGCTAAAGTTAATAATTATGGCAATAAATTGCTTGACTTCTGCAAGCAAAATAATATGTATATTGCCAATGGTCGGATTGGAAATGATGCACAAATAGGTAAAACTACATGTAGTGATGTCAGCGTTATAGATTATCTATTGCTGTCGTCAGATATGTTTCGGTATACAACAGATTTTGAAATCAAAGTTTTTGACCCACTCATATCAGATGTCCACTGTAGACTTGTATTTAGCCTTTGTAAATTAACTGATGAATGTATATATAATACCGAATGTCATGAAAATCGATATACAAAGTGGAAATCCTGTAAAGAACAAGATTTTGTAAAACATATACTAGATGATGAAAGAGGTAATCTCCATAGAATTAATGATAAATTAAATGAATTATTAAATAAACAACACGACAATGTAACCAATAACGAAATTAATGACATTGTAAACTCAATTAGTGAATTGTTCAAAGGCTCTGCTAAGCAGGTTTTTGGTAGTAACAATGCTTACAGGAAACGGAGGTTGAGATGTGATAATAAACCTTGGTTTAATAGGGAATGCCACTTAAACAGAGTTGAATTTAATAAAGCCAAGGCCTTATTTCACAAAGTAAATAATCCTATAAATAAAACTAATCTCAATAGAGCTAGTAAAGTTTATAGAAAAACATTGAATAAAAATTACAGAAATTATCAGGAGAAATTGTCAAGCGAGTTAAGAAATACTGCTAGAATGGATTCAAAAAAATTCTGGAATATTTTGAATAAATGTGACGGATCTGTAAAGAAAGGTAATGCTGATATATGTATTACTGAATTATATGAATACTTTAAGGATCTGAACAAGTCTGTTTATGATGATGACGATTTTGAGCTGGAAAATCCTGATAATAGTATTTTTGATGATTATCTGAATGGTGAAATTACCACTGATGAAATTAAATTTTCTTTAATCAATTTGAAGAATAGTAAAGCCTCTGGTATAGATCAAATCCTAAATGAATATCTAAAAAGTACAATGGATGTATTTTTACCAATTTATCAAAAAATATTTAACCTTATTCTGAATACTGCGTCTATACCAGATGTGTGGAAGATCGGTATTATAAAACCAGTATATAAAAACAAAGGCGATCCAAAAGATCCGGATAATTATAGAGCGATCACTTTAGTCTCGTGCCTTGGCAAAGTTTTCACTTCGGTTATTAATAATCGTTTAAATAAAATTTCTGACGAATTTGACCTGATAAGCAGTGCACAAGCTGGGTTTAGAAAGGGTCATTCTACAACCGATAACATGTTTGTATTGTATTCTTTAATCTCAATATATTTTTCATTAGGAAAAAAACTTTATTGTACGTTCATCGATTTTAGTAAGGCGTTCGATTCTGTATGGAGAGTTGGTCTGTGGAAAAAGCTCCAAAAAAGCAACATTACTGGAAAAATTTTCAATATTATTTATAAGCTATATGATAAAACCAAATCATGTGTTAAAAATGGATGTGAACAGTCGGATTTGTTCAATTGTGAGATCGGTTTAAAACAGGGCGAAAATTTATCGCCATTTTTGTTTGCAATTTATTTAAATGATTTAGAAACTTATCTTGTTGAAAAAAATGTAAATTGTCTTCAAACAATAGACAAATTATGTATTGATAACATTGGAGTGTATCTCAAACTATTCATTATCTTATATGCCGATGATACTGTCCTGTTTTCAGAAACACCAGATGGTTTACAGTTAGCTTTAAATGAATTTGAACAATACTGTAATACTTGGAAGTTAACTATCAATTCAGGAAAAACTAAAATTGTCATCTTTTCAAAAAGAAAATGTGCAAGAACTCCCCATTTTACATTATGTAACGTAGAATTAGAAATACTGGAAGGGTATACCTATCTAGGATTATTCTTTAATTTTAGTTGTAGCTTCTTTAAAGCAAGGAAAAAAATTGTTGAACAAGCACAGAAATCAGTGTTTGCTGTCTATAAGAAATTGAGAAACATATCTTTACCAGTTGATCTACAATTGAAGATATTTGATTCATTAATTATGCCAGTTCTTCTGTATTCATCAGAAATATGGGGTTTTGAAAACACAAATATTATAGAAAAAATCCATCTTCAATTTTGTAAATATATACTAAATGTAAGAAAAAGTACACCAAATTTCATTGTTTATGGTGAGCTTGGAAGATACCCACTAGACATCGAAATTAAATGTAGAATAATAGTATTCTGGCATAAGTTGATTACCTCTAGTAAGTTATCAAGTACTATTTATAAGCTTATGTATACATTACATGAAAATGGAACTATGTTATTTAAATGGCTCGCATATGTTAAAGATATTTTTTCTCAAACTGGCCTGAACTATGTGTGGTACTATCAATCTACATGTTCTTTTTCAAAAGACGAAATTAAGAGGCTTGTGAAAAGTAGACTGAAGGATCAATTTATACAGAAATGGTTTGATAATATTCTTAACTCCTCTAGAGGACAAACATATTCAATATTAAAGACAAAGTTTGAACAAGAAAAATATTTAATTAAACTTAATACAAATGATAGGAAAATAATGTGTAAATTCCGTTCTTGCAATATGCATTTACCCATAGAAAAAGGAAGATGGTTAGGTATTCCTCGTCAAGAAAGAACCTGTACATTATGTAATTTGTACATTGGAGATGAATTTCATTACTTATTTATATGTGAAAGTGTTTTAGTTAAATGTCTAAGAGAGAAATATATACCAAAATATTATTTCACTTATCCAAGTCAATTAAAAATGCAAGGATTGTTTAATATATTTAATGTAAAAATTCACACAAAACTTTGTAAATTCATAGAAAAGCTTGAAAAAATATTAACTTAATTTCTGTACTATTTGTGTACTTCTATATGTATCTATGCTATGTACAATGTTGTAATTGTGTACATCACACGCCATGTATCATACTTACTATATGTATGTGACCTCTTGTTACACACGTAAGTGTGTCGGAGTGAATAAATAAAAACTTAGAACTTAGAAGAAAGCAGCGAAGACAATGTATGCCAGGCGAGCAGATCTCCAAGTAAGGTCCTATAACGTAACCAGCTTGTTTACTCAGGTTAAGGATTCTATCCCCGTAAAATATCAAACAATGCTTTACAGCAGTAAGGAAATGAAAGGCACATCATGAAATAGATAAAATATAAAGAAATAGATCAACTAAATCTTGCTATGATAAAATACTCAAAAGTAGTTTACATTACACTGATAATACACCCTCGATACTCCAGTGGTTAGGTTCACTTAGTAAAAGTCATAGTAAAATTGAAGGCACGTGGCCAGCTATTGATTGGTCTCAAATAGTCTTCAAAATAGTCTTCTTGTCTCATCCAAAAAGTGGCACACACTGCGCCTTCGATTTTGCATATTCCAGGGGTGCAGAGAGCGAATGTGTGCGTATCCCCTGGATATCGAGGATGACAGTGAACCAGGGGTGCAGAGAGCGAATCCCCTGGACTATCGAGGATGACAGTGAACCAGGGGTGCAGAGAGCGAATCCCCTGGACTATCGAGGATGTGATAAAAATGTCCTACAATTATACAAGAGATCAACCAATACAACGGTTTCAGAATTTGCAGGCTTTGCGTTATCGGGTGATAATTACTAGCGCTATACCACCAGCTAATATATCCATGTTAGTGTCTGCGTGCATTTGATGTACATGGGTTCCGATGGGACTGTGCTTCCAACCGCGTCTTTCTTTTCTTAGTGCAACCTAACTTTAATGCTACAGCAAAGATACCGTAAAACCCAGGCAAGACCATATACTACTCCGATTTGGTTGTTCGAGTAGTGATTGCAAGATGGAAACATGTTTTTTATGCTTCGACTTGTTTTGATCTTATTATTAGAAAATGTACATTCAATGTACTAGTACTGGGCCTAAAGGAAATGATTCCATTTGCTTGTAACCTAACATTTCTATACCATATTTGGATATTCGTTCAAAAAGTAATTCGCTTTATCTTATTTAAACTGAATTTTCCGGTACTAATATTTATATCTTTGTTTACTGATATGATCCGTGATACAGATTTACATCTCGCACTTTATAAATAGAAAGGAAAGGAAGGTTTGTGTGGGACCATTGTTTTATCTGTATCTATGTTCTTGCTATAAGACGAAATGAGTTTGAATCCGTTGATCTTGTAAACAATGTCTTAAAAGTTAGAAGCCCTAACAATGATTAGGTACCCGAACTCACGGATTTATTATTATCAGATGTTTAATATTCAATATATTGCATTTACATATTTGATAGGAGCAATGGATGTTATTAATATGTATAGAACTATATAAATTATAAACTGCTTCAGTAAAATATTGAAATACAATGTATGTACATACAAATGTATGTACATACAAATGTATGTAGGTGTTCGGTACCAGAGTTGATTTGTACATGACTTACAAATCTTTGGCTTTTGTCCCATTTGGTAACGTAAAATGGTAACGACGTTTGAAGATTCAACATTAAACCTGACACACCCTTCACAGTACCACCCTTTTCTATCTATCCCATGTAGGCGATATAAAATGTATCTTTGACAAATGGGTAAACCTAGCTCTTCTTATAGATCACGCAAAGCGTACTTATTGTACAGGATCAGGAACGTGTTGATTCGCCTTATAGATCACGCAAAGCGTACTTATTGTACAGGATCAGGAACGTGTTGATTCGCCTTATAGCTCACGCAAAGCGTACTTATTGTACAGGATCAGGAACGTGATGATTCGCCTTATAGCTCACGCAAAGCGTACTTATTGTACAGGATCAGGAACGTGATGATTCGCCTTATAGCTCACGCAAAGCGTACTTATTGTACAGGATCAGGAACGTGATGATTCGCCTTATAGCTCACGCAAAGCGTACTTATTGTACAGGATCAGGAACGTGATGATTCGCCTTATAGCTCACGCAAAGCGTACTTATTGTACAGGATCAGGAACGTGATGATTCGCCTTATAGCTCACGCAAAGCGTACTTATTGTACAGGATCAGGAACGTGTTGATTCGCCTTATAGCTCACGCAAAGCGTACTTATTGTACAGGATCAGGAACGTGATGATTCGCCTTATAGCTCACGCAAAGCGTACTTATTGTACAGGATCAGGAACGTGATGATTCGCCTTATAGCTCACGCAAAGCGTACTTATTGTACAGGATCAGGAACGTGTTGATTCGCCTTATAGCTCACGCAAATCGTACTTATTGTACAGGATCAGGAACGTGATGATTCGCCTTATAGCTCACGCAAAGCGTACTTATTGTACAGGATCAGGAACGTGTTGATTCGCCTTATAGATCACGCAAAGCGTACTTACTGTACAGGATCAGGAACGTGTTGATTCGCCTTATAGATCACGCAAAGCGTACTTATTGTACAGGATCAGGAACGTGTTGATTCGCGTTTTACGTTGATCGATATGTTTTGTATTTAATTTATGCTAAGTTCACTCTGCTTGGACTGGCATATATTATGTTTGGCGTACTTTCTTCAATGGTATGTTTGATGTTAATCCAACTCAAAATTAGTATACTTTCGCACTGATCTGATATTGTAAATTAAATCATTTATTTTATATCAACTCGCAATGTTTGTTTCCCTGTTCATTTTCATGACCAATATGGTCCTTTATAACCTCGTTATGTTAACACAAGCCAGCAAATAAACATGTGGAACTCGTGGCGCTATGTTACAGGGTCATCGCCAGTAAGAGCCCCTCTCATCCTGTGGGAAGCGTCGTACGGGCGTTCTCGGGATGGCGCACGCACACACTTGTTTCAAACGAGCAAGCTCAGGGAATTGGACGCATACCGGAAATGAGTGATCTCCCTCTGTCATTGGCCCTTGGCACCATGGGAATGACAGGGTATTTACTTTATTATATATTGTCTTTATTCTTTTGATTTTACATCATTATATTCCATGAAAGAGGTCAAGTTGTTTTATCCACCCCAACGATTAGATAAGTACTTGTGATATTAATATATCAAATGTATCTGTAGTCTTTTGTTTGTTTGTAATGTTTGTTTGGGGTTTCACGTCCTTGTAACAGCTGAGGCAGACCTATATAAAAAATAGTTATATTAGTTTTGTCATGGTACCAGTGAAAATTGATGTTTATAAAACATACGTAATCAAAATAGTTTCCTTCAGGGTTGTCATCCGCATTATATGTCTATTCGTGGAGTGAATCCTACACCTTGACGTTCTTTGATTTCAGAAAGGTAAGACAGTAATTCTGAAATTATATATCAGCACCAAGCAATCTAATTTAACGAATTATATTTGCTTCGCTGTTTTATTTCGCTACCCTGTTAACGTCATTGTCTACAGGATGACAGCTTACTTTGGTTTCCTGGAGCTTTGCCAGCCAAAGGAAGGAGACACTGTACTTGTTAACGGTGCTGCTGGAGCAGTGGGCAGTCTGGTCGGACAAATCGCCAAAATAAAGGTAGACCATTCCTAATAACCGTATGTAGTATGATTCTACGCATTTTCTTAATATCTGGAGCTATCTAGAAACAAATAGTGCAAAGATCTGCTTTTATAGAAGTTGCCTCACTGTTAGAAAAGTTGCTCAGTAAAGATACGAGGTGATGGAGTCCTGACTAATTGACTGAAAAAAGTTTTGTTTAACTGTTTTGCAAAATGATGGGATACTACCTGCATGAATATATCTTGATTTCTCTTGTTTAACAAAGGTAGAAAATGGCAAGATATAGGTGTCTGAAAGAGGCTTTATTTAACAGGGGTGCAAGGTGGTTGGATGTGCTGGTACTGACGACAAATGCAAGTGGCTGAAGGAGTTAGGTTTTGATGAGGTCTTTAACTACAAGAAGGTTGATCTATCCGAGGCTTTGAAAGCAGCCGCCCCAGATGGGTTTGATTGTTTCTTCGATAATGTAAGTTTTAAATTTAAGACTTTGGACGTTCATCGTGTATTAATCACTTCCATCCTGTTTTATTTTAAACGTTGATAGGTGTGAGAGGTACAGACTGCGTACTTTTTGATGATATATAAAACAAATCCCTTAACTAACAAATATGAACATATACTACCAGTCCATGTCGGCCGCGAGAATGTAGACCTCACAGCGTTTGTAGTCATGGGTTCCACTTCCGGAGTCTCAGACAACTTGTGGCGGGTATCTACACAGGATTATTTTATATTTGTATAGATATTGTTTATGTCGAACGGCGTCTGTTGTTAACACTTTAATATAAAACGAACATTAAGAGATACAATCGGGAAAATATCGCTCTGTTCTTTTAAAAGTTGCAATGTTAATCATGCTGAAGAAATGAGCAGATTTTACTGTGGTGTTGGTGCTAGCAAACATTCGTGTTATAATGGTTGTTTATTGTGTTGTGACTAGGAGCAGATCTCACGTTTGTGGTAGTGTAGGATAGTATGATACAATGTTGTTGTAAACGTGTTGTAGATTGGAGCAGATCTCACGTTTGTGGTATTGTAGGATAATATGATACCATGTTGTTCTAAGCGTGTTGTAGATTGGAGCAGATCCCACGTTTGTGGTAGTGTAGGATATTGTGATTTCTAGTGATTGTTTATTGTGTTGTGACTAGGAGCAGATCTCACTTTTGAGGTAGTGTAGGATATTATGATATATGTTGTTCTAAACGTGTTGTAGATTGTAGCAGATCTCACGTTTGTTGTAGTGTAGCATATTATGATACAATGTTGTTCTAAACGTGTTGTGACTAGTAGCAGATCTCATGTTTGTGGTAGTGTAGGATATTGTGATTTCTAGTGATTGTTTATTGTGTTGTGACTAGGAGCAGATCTCACTTTTGAGGTAGTGTAGGATATTATGATATATGTTGTTCTAAACGTGTTGTAGATTGTAGCAGATCTCACGTTTGTTGTAGTGTAGCATATTATGATACAATGTTGTTCTAAACGCGTTGTAGATTGGAGCAGATCTCACGTTTGTTGCAGTGTAGCATATTATGATACAATGTTGTTCTAAACGTGTTTTAGATTGGAGTAGATCTCACGTTTGTGGTAGTGTATAATATTATGATACAATGTTGTTCTAAACGCGTTGTAGATTGGAGCAGATCTCACGTTTGTGGTAGTGTATAATATTATGATACAATGTTGTTCTAAACGTGTTTTAGATTGGAGTAGATCTCACGTTTGTGGTAGTGTATAATATTATGATACAATGTTGTTCTAAACGCGTTGTAGATTGGAGCAGATCTCACGTTTGTAGTAGTGTAGGATAATATGATACAATGTTGTTCTAAGCGTGTTGTAGATTGGAGCAGATCCCACGTTTGTGGTAGTGTAGGATATTGTGATTTCTAGTGATTGTTTATTGTGTTGTGACTAGGAGCAGATCTCACTTTTGAGGTAGTGTAGGATATTATGATATATGTTGCTCTAAACGTGTTGTAGATTGGAGCAGATTTTACTGTGGTGTTGTTGGAGTTGGTGCTAGCAATACATTCTTGTTCTAGTGATTGTTTATTGTGTTGTGACTAGGAGCAGATATCACGTTTGTGGTAGTGTAGGATAGTATGATTCAATGTTGTTGTAAACGTGTTGTAGATTGGAGCAGATCTCCCCCTTGTGGTAGTGTAGGATATTGTGATACAATGTTGTTTTAAACGTGTTGTAGATTGGAGCAGATCTCCCCCTTGTGGTAGTGTAGGATATTGTGATACAATGTTGTTCTAAACGTGTGGTAGATTGGAGCAGATCTCACGTTTGTGTTATTGTAGGATATTATGATTCAATGTTGTTCTAAGCGTGTTGTAGATTGGAGCAGATCCCACGTTTGTGGTAGTGTAGGATATTGTGATCCAATGTTGTTCTAAACGTGTTGTAGATTGGAGTAGATCTCACGTTTGTGGTAGTGTATAATATTATGATACAATGTTGTTCTAATCGTGTTGTTACTAGGAGCAGATCTCACGTTTGTGGTAGTGTAGGATAGGATGATACAATGTTGTTGTAAACGTGTTGTAGATTGGAGCGGATCTCACGTTTGTGGTAGTGTAGGATAGTATGATACTATGTTGTTGTAAACGTGTTGTAGATTGGAGCAGATCTCCCCCTTGTGGTAGTGTAGGATATTGTGATACAATGTTGTTTTAAACGTGTTGTAGATTGGAGCAGATCTCACGTTTGTAGTAGTGTAGGATAATATGATACAATGTTGTGCTAAGCGTGTTGTAGATTGGAGCAGATCTCACGCTTGTGGTAGTGTAGGATATTGTGATACAATGTTGTTCTAAACGTGCTGTAGATTGGAGCAGATCTCATGTTTGTGGTAGTGTAGGATATTGTGATACAATGTCGTTCTAAACGTGTTGTAGATTGGAGCAGATTTTACTGTGGTGTTGTTGGAGTTGGTGCTAGCAATACATTCTTGTTCTAGTGATTGTTTATTGTGTTGTGACTAGGAGCAGATATCACGTTTGTGGTAGTGTAGGATAGTATGATACAATGTTGTTCTAAACGTGTTGTAGATTGGAGCAGATCTCACGTTTGTTGTAGTGTAGCATATTATGATACAATGTTGTTCTAAACGTGTTGTGACTAGTAGCAGATCTCACGTTTGTGGTAGTGTAGGATAATATGATACAATGTTTTTCTAAACGTGTTGTGGCTTGGAGCAGATCTCACGGTTGTGGTAGTGTAGGATAATATGATACAATGTTGTTCGAAACGTGTTGTGACTAAGAGCAGATCTCACGTTTGCTGTAGTGTAGCATATTATGCTACAATGTTGTTCTAGTGATTGTTTCTTGTGTTGTGACTAGGAGCAGATCTCACGGTTGTGGTAGTGTAGGATAATATGATACAATGATGTTCTTAACGTGTTGCGACTAGGAGCAGATCTCCCGTTTGCGGTAGTGTAGGATATCATGATACAATGTTGTTCGAAACGTGTTGTGACTAAGAGCAGATCTCACGTTTGTAGTAGTGTAGGATATTCTGATACAATGTTGTTCTTACCGTGTTGTGACTAGGAGCAGATCTCCCGTTTGCGGTAGTGTAGGATATCATGATACAATGTTGTTCGAAACGTGTTGTGACTAGTAGCAGATCTCATGTTTGTGGTAGTGTATAATATTATGATACAATGTTGATCTAAACGTGTTGTGGCTTGGAGCAGATCTCACGGTTGTGGTAGTGTAGGATTTTGTGATACAATGTTCTTCTAAACGTGCTGTAAATTCGAGCAGATCTCACTTTTGAGGTAGTGTAGGATATCATGATACAATGTTGTTCGAAACGTGTTGTGACTAAGAGCAGATCTCACGTTTGTAGTAGTGTAGGATATTCTGATACAATGTTGTTCGAAACGTGTTGTGACTAGTAGCAGATCTCATGTTTGTGGTAGTGTATGATATTGTGATACAATGTTCTTCTAAACGTGCTGTAGATTCGAGCAGATCCAACTTTTGTGGTAGTGTGGGATAATATGATACAATGTTGTTCTAAACGTGTTGTAGATTCGAGCAGATCTCACTTTTGTGGTAGTGTGGGATAATATGATACAATGTTGTTCTTAACGTGTTGTGACTAGGAGCAGATCTCACGTTTGTGGTAGTGTAGGATATTGTGATACAATGTTGTTCTAAACGTGCTGTAGATTGGAGCAGATCTCACGTTTGTGGTAGTGTAGGATATTATGATACAATGTTGTTCTAAACGTGTTGTGACTAGGAGCAGATCTCACGTTTGTGGTAGTGTAGGATATTGTGATACAATGTTGTTCTAAACGTGTTGTGACTAGGAGCAGATCTCACGTTTGTGGTAGTGTAGGATATTGTGATACAATGTTGTTCTAAACGTGTTGTAGATTGGAGCAGATTTTACTGCTACTGCACTGAAACACATGAAGCAGTTTGGCCGTGTTTCCATTTGTGGACAGATGTCTGTCTACAACAACAAGGAACTCCCAAGAGGTAATACCAAGCATTTTTTTTTTCTTAATGAATGTCATACTTTACTTGGTTCAAAAGTTATCTCCCTTTTTACAATGAGTTGTATGAATACCTGTTTCGTGCCTTAGTAATCTCTTCACTTACATTACTTCATTGTTAACAAAATAAATTTCTGCGAAACTATGTACAGGAAACTATGTACTGGAAACTATGGAAACCATGTACAGGAAACTATGTACTGGAAACTATGTACAGGAAACTATGTACTGGAAACTATGGAAACTATGTACTGGAAACCATGCTAAGCGTAACATAGGACCAATTATTGTGCTTTCTGTGCTTAAATAATGTATAGTTTGCTTGATAAATATGTATTTAAATAGTCCAAACTTCAAATTCATTATGGTGGCAGAGTACAGTAGAAATGGCTTGACCCTAAAAATAAAGGGCATGTCTCGGATAAACATGGAAAGTGGATTCATCCTGCACAACACACCTACATATATATATATATTTATAAACTACATTTTGAATACATTTTTTTTAGAAGAACAATTTCTTTTTCAAAAACTGATTTCCCCAGATTTGGGACTTGTGAAAACCATGGTTACCACATCAAAAACACCAAAATATGCACAAAATCATGATTTTTAACCCAGAATTTGACCCCCGCAAGTAGAATTGTTTTTCTTAAAACCTGTCTGAAATTAAATATCGCCTACTCGGTAACAGAAATACTCACGTTTTAGCATAGGTTATTCATTGTATAAAAATATCACCCATGGCGACTGTACGCTAATGTACTCTGCTACCTATTCTCTGCCCACAATTGAATTACAGAACGTACATTTTAGTCCTTTACAAATCGCTATTGATATTCAGAATGCATAGTACCAGTCGAAAATAAGAAGATACCTGCAACTACAATTTAGAAAGATCAACATCCTCAATCATTGCTTTCCAACTGTTTCAGTTGGAATTTGGTTGACAATTCTAAATATGTGTGTCAACATATATCTACACATATACATAAATATTTGAAGCTTTTACTTCAAAATAGATAAAGCATAAGATTAAAACTAACTTGGCAATAAAATCTTTTAAATACAAAAATATTTCAGGAAATAGATGGACGGTATATGCGAAATAAGTATGATAGTGTTTGTGATGATACTGTTTGGGTTTGGCTCAAATATAGGTGGTTTTTTCAAACTAGCATATGACTCCATAATTCGGCATCATCTAACTGTGCAATAGATCGATATTAAATGTTTGTTGCATTATGGGAGGGGCTTTAAGCCTGAATACACGTCTGTGTGGTTTAAAATATTAGTAAATAGCAAAGGAAACTAAAACCAAACTTGTAACTTGTCTTGTTGATTATTTCAATCCCGAAGAAAAGTAATCAATGATTCACTTTAAGGTTTGGTTCAAATAACATATGTCTAGTCTACTCTGTTTTGGCACTCCCCAGCTGAATATCCATTCATGCTCATCCTCGGGAAACAGCTTAAGGTTGAGGGATTTAACGTGATGCGGTGGTATCCGAGGTGGGCGGAGGGAGAAAAGGTTATGGCACAATGGATCAAAGAGGTGAGTGTAACAAACTTTTGCTAATGTTTGTCTCGAATGATGCGAGATAATCCTCATGGTACTTTTTTATCTAACGTTTTATAACGTGTTGTATGATGGACGAGATATTCTTCTTGATGTACTTATATCTATGTAATATTTGTGGTTCTCTGTTTATTTGGCTTGTCGCTGCGATTTTTGAATTATGTAAAATTGCTGTTTATCTCTTAATTGATGTCTAATCAAATTCCGTGGTGAATTTGAAATGCCATTCGAAATTTAGCTAATTTAAAACGTCGACGATTTTGTAGTTCTTATTCAGCGTGTGAACAGAAATTTCTTTGTCAGAATCGGTGGAATACTTTCACAATATTACATCGTAATGCAATTGACCCACGCACAATTGTTCATTTATGCTACAGATTGTGCATTGTCTAATTTCTTTTCCAGGGAAAAATCAAGTACAAAGAAACAATTACTAAGGGTTTCAGAAATATGCCGAATGCCTTCATCGGACTGTTCGATGGTGCTAATACCGGGAAAGCGATAGTCACAGCCTAATGTGACTACGATTCTACGTCATAGATTTACCGTGACGTCAAAAAACAAGATGATCTTACGTCACAGAGATAGCATGACACCAATAGACCAGATAACACAGGAAAACATTAAAATTATTTGGTGAAGTTAATGATTCTCATCAAATCAGAAATAAAAGCACTTATTTGCGAAGGCTTATAAAAGACACGTTCTTACGAGAGCAGGTTACTTTTTCATTTACCTACTCATTCGAAATGTTTCATGCATCGGCTTAAATCGAGTTAAGAATTCCGAGTTTCATCTACCAAAGTATCAACGATCACAATGTCACCCTATTTTATACATGTACTCCATATATATCAATAGGTGTGCTATTTCCCTTGTTCAGGTGAAAGTGAATATATGTTTGGAACTAATCATTTACACGTCCGTTTTTATGTATTGAAAAATAACGGTATTTGTTTTTCGGGATGGGAATTGTAGCACACCTACACTATTTTAGATATGACGTCATCATCATTGTGCTGGATTGAGCTGACGTTAGGAGCATCCTTACGTAACTACAAAGATTGTAAGTGTATCCATCCCCTTTGTAGAACCGTTTCCACCTTGTTTATATGTAAATCCCTTGTTGATGTTTTGGTGAACAAGACTTTTTCCACGCATTAAAGCAAAAACAGCCTATGAAAAGTGAATGATATGTGGTACTTGAAGTATAATACTTTTAATTCCATAACATACATTATGTCCCAGCGCTTCGTCTGTACCGTTTTTACACAGGTATTAAAATTCTCCACCACACATTCAGTCTTGGATTTTGACAACTATTTTACCTAGGTTGCCTCCCTTGAACAGTTTCAAAAATGCTTCAGGTAATTTGTCAAATCCATCATATATTAATTCCTTGCTTCGAAGTTTTCCCTGTAAAGGAAACAAACATTTATAAACGATAAATTGTACTGTAATTAATATATTCACGATGTCAAATATTGGAACACATTATATGCGATTTCTCTTCATATCATAATGATGCAACGTGTCACGTGTTTTTTGTTGAAAAGCCAGAGGCACTGCCGATCAACCATGCAACGAGTTTTAACACTCTAATTTGGAACAGAGTGGAGTACTCACTTTTTATAGGATCTCGAATGTATTCGAATATTTAAGAAAAATTGCGGAAAATCTTTTCTATGACCAAGTCTTTCAACATGTTCATGTGTACATAAGAATGATTTAGGGTCGTTACCTCTTGTACTAGGTTATAGAGAGCCCGGTATGCTACGTCCCAGCTGCTGAACCAGTGAATGACGTTGAATCCTTGTACTGTTAGTTGTTTTGCAACTATCGCCCGGTATATAGACAGTCCTGTAGTTATAAATATATCACATTGTTTGGAAAATCTAACAAAGTAACGAAAGCCAAGCAACTTTCATTTAGTAAGAAAAATACAATGTAGAAGTTATCGACCCGAAAAATGAAAACAGTAATATCAGTTGAAATTAAAAGTTTTGTAAGAGAAATAATAGTAGATCATATAAGTGATTATGAAGCTGGTATGCAAATACAAAAAGGTCTTCAAGCATAATACCACCTCAAACGCATAATATCTGCCAAAAAGGATATCGTTTAGTAAAGCATTAGTACCATATGCTACAGTAGGTGAACTACTGACCTTGAGATGGGTGATGTATATCATCACTATACAGTGATATCGATCCACACAAGGCAGCACGTCCACCCAAAGACATGTGACATATTACAGCACTGGCCAGGTCACCGCCGACCTACAGAGTTACGTAAGAGTTGGAATTGTGACGAACATCAACAAATAACAGAAAAAGATACAAGCTCATTTATCTGTAGGCTGTCGCTGATCATACATGTATATCCTTATACTAAAAAGTATACGGTTTGTACTGCTGAAATAAAAGTTGTATGGTATAACTAAAGTTGATACTTTCTCTATAGTGACAATTGACTCTTTTCTTATATTTTTAACTAAACCGATTTATCAGCAGAGATAATGATTTAGAGTGAAAATAACAAAAAAACAATGGGCATTGTCAAATGTGTCATCAGAAGATGGCCGCGGTGTTTCCTTTGTATGAAGTCTCAATATAACATTTTTTTTACCAATGAACCAACCGTCTTCGGGATCGCGTGTATTTATGAAGAACAAATTATGCACCTTTTGTGGTATGTTGAAGAAACACACCTTTTGCTCATAGTTGGAATATTTTTACTTCTGCCCAATATAAAATACTTCATTAACGAAACATATTAGTTATTCACCAGGAAATCAAGAATATTACCAATCTTCTCCAGTCTAAGGAGTCAATCAAGTCCCGCATTGTATATAAGAAAGCTAGAATAGATACACGTCGATCATTTTCATGGTAGTAATCCAACAACGATTAAACCTTCCTAAACTTAATACTAGGGATAAAAAGGATTGGGTTATCATCAATCAACTTTATATTTCCTTACAAGATACCGGAAGACTGAGCACGGAGTAGACTTATGGAAATAGTTTCTATCTACCCTGCATACAAAAACTGAAAACAAATTACCCATACACGTCTGCCATAAACGTTCAAATACAGAATGGTAAATGTTAGACTTAATATTATTATATACCTAATGTTTCTAGAGTGTGCAGACTTATCATCGTTACTTCTGTAGACGTTGATGTAATGCAGTGAAAATGTTCAATGAGAAAATCGATGCCAATGACCAATTCTGTATTTTCATTTCGCGTACAAACAAAACTTACATTGTCGAAGAGACAATTCACCCCTGTTGGAGCTTCCTCCTGCAATTTAGCACTGACGTTATCAGTTTTGTAATTGATAGCGACGTCCATCCCTAGCTCCTCTGTAATCCAGCGACATTTGTCGTCACTTCCGCAAATTCCAATCACTTTGCAGCCCTAAATTTAAACGAGCAATCATAGAGTAAACATTAAACACATCGCAAAGAAAAAAACTTAATTCCCGATAATCAGCTGCTTATTAATTTTAGAACGGAATCCTATGATAATTTTAACAGATTTAATGTTACCTTCGACATGGCGTCATATGTTTGTCTATTTATTCCAGAATTGTTAAAGGCTGTGGTGACCTTTCGCTTTGTGAACAAATGTCTGTACCTGTTGATTTGTTTCAGCCTTCGCAGAATTAATTAACGTGATATCTTGAAATGCATGCTTTAGAATTTAAAAGAGTCGGCTGATATGTGGGCGACTCAGAAAACAAAAGTTATGATGTACCGCTGCCTTCGCTATCTGAGCGGCCACGCTACCCACTGCTCCTCCTGCCGACGTGACCACAACAACATCTCCTGTCTTAGGCTTACATACTTCTGTCATACCGTAGTAGGCTGTCAGGCTACAACATCGTAAAAATGATACTTAAAATGACAGTTCAGAGAGTTAATAGGCGTATTAAACTAATTTTGTAAATAAACATGTCGTGTGTGCAAATTGTCTCTATGCCAGTGTATATGTATGACCAAGGACTTTGTTTGCCTTTTGCTGTGTAATACTGTGGGGAATGATGGGCTCTAAAACTAAGTCGTCTGTTGGAGTTACTCCTCTCGTATTAAGGCATCACTATTTCTGTAACTACTTCTACTGTGTAACAGTGCTCTTTCGTGTCCTATATAGTTTATGTGTGTTTGTAATTCTGATTAGGAGAGGACTAATATACGCAAAGCCTGTGGTCTAATCCTTTTAATTTTTCAATCAAATGTATTTAAATAAAATGAAATGAATTATCGCTTATTGTACATCAGCTATTGCAGATTTCTTTAGGTACTTAAATTTGATGCAAATGTATTAATTAGATTCACCTCAAGTTTCAACTTGATTAATGATTCAGTCAAAATCATCCGAAGCGAACATACCCTGTAAGTCCAAGCATGCCAAGTGCATGAGAAACTGGGAGATCTCCCATGACCGGAAGTTGTCGAAGTGACGTCATATCAGATACCCGGGAGAGTGTGCGCCATCCCACATTCGCCAATACCAATGACTTTTCAGGGAATTGTGGATTTTTACTGTGAAGAACCCTAAACAATAAGATGGAAAATATGAGTTCAATTGTTCAGATAAAGTTGTAAATGTTTAAAATTCAAAACACAACATTGATCATGTCAAACTAATAGGCCTGATATGTAATTTCACTCACAGCTAAACTTTACATTACAAGTGATGCTATTATTTATAGTGTCATGATCACTCTGCTAATAAGTATTGATACTGGTGTATATCTATCTTCACAACATCTCTGGTGTTCGGCTGGACTGGATGGAATTTATGAGTGTACTATTATATAACCTGTTCTAACTATTTCATAGTTACATGAATATTCTATAATGTTTTGTTGAATAAATTTTAAGAGAATCACCTCCAATAATAGATAATAATAACTACATTTTCCTAAATGAATCCATGTCATTTTCCAAAGTTTTTACAAAATGTTTAATTCTTGGTAACTTATCCTTTAAATCCAGTGGGTGGATGGCAAATGTGTTTATACACAGGGAGTTTTGGGCCTGTATCCCTCGGATTTATGTAGGATGGGTTGTCAATAAATATCCACAACATAAACAAAAAATGATTCAAGAAAAGTTGTAAAATGTTCATTTCACAAGCTAAATTGGAGTTATCTCCCCTGCACTATTTTGTAATGTTTGTAAATAAGTTTGGAAAGGACTCAAATAGGCATAGTCTTATGTCCAATCCAATTGACATATATAAAGTCATTAAAATCTGTTGAAATGAAGTTGAAATGAATTATCTATTATTAATGATCAATGATCAATGTACTCATTAAGGACATTGGCGTTCAGTGTAGTTTACTGTTACTGTATCAAATACGATACACACATTTTTACATATATATGTGAAATATCATATAAAGTTGAAAGAAGCATTAAAAAATAACGGTCCGGAAAATGAGTACACTGATGTGATATTTTATCTATTTTCACAACCTGTTTCCTCAGGGTACGAACGTCAAAATACTACGCAACACTCCTCCGTGATACATTATTATATATAAGAAGTTCGTGCGGAATGGCTTGATGCCTGATGCAGTGAATATCGATGTTATGCTATCACCTTGCTATCTGTTCCGCCATCATCATAGATCCTTCTGATAGGGAGCGCTCAGCATACGGTCTGTAGCAGAAATACAGTAATGTAGAGAACCACACCGACTGTGGACTATACATGTGTAATTGGTAAAAACAAAGTATCCAAGTAATTGTTTCTGGCAGATAGTTTAAGTCCAATACTTTCACAACTTCAAAACAGAAGTAAGGCGGCATAACCATGATACTCAACTGATGTGATCAAAGCGGCGATGAAAGCATGAAGATATCTTAAACTTGCGCTTAAAAAGGGAAAACAAACAATACAATATGATTGAAATGTATAAGAAAATGGCCATCAAGAAGACTTGGACTAAGATATAAACCTGGTGATTATCTCTTACGTAAAGGAACTGTCTGAAACAATCTACGAGATATTTCGCGGGATAAGAGCACTGAACTGACCACAAAACCTGTCAAGAGAACTGAACATCCTAGTATGTCCTAAGGATAAGAAAACGTCGAAGAATGCGTATACCAAAAGGGATATAGGAGCAAGGACGCGTCATATATTAGAGAGTCAGAATGACAGTAAAACGTCCGACTTTGTGTAATCCGATCGGACGTGAAAAGGTATACGATCACTTACTGAACCACGTCACGTGGGTTTCACCGAGTACTCCAGTTTCCTCACACATTTAACCCTCTACGCGCATCCATCCTTCCCAAGAGGAATACTCAGTTAACCTGATAAACCTTTTCCAATTACTGATTTTACTGAAGTAAATAAAGTGATTTCACAACCCCGGAAATACATTAAACGTGGTAATTATGTGATAAACAACACTAAAGAAATGAAATACTGGAAAACCGGAAATTTTCGCTTCAGGAAAATGTTCGCGTCGTGACTATTTAGATTGATCGCAGTGTGGATTTTTTCGCATTGGCAGTGGTTTTGAAATCTAAATTTTCTATATAGTTATAATCTATATAATCTTTTAATAAATGTTCGCGTTAAGACATGTTCGCGCAAATTTACTTACATTTCCAAAACGCGAAAGTTTTCACTTTTACAGAATATTTCAACGTACCTCATATACGGGTCAACGCTGATATACAGAGCCTCGCAAAGGACTTCTACAAAATTAGAGGAAAAAAATCGTCATGTGTACAAAACAATAAACGTCAATCAAAACATGTTCAGAAATGTGTTAAGGTCTACTGAAGACGAGTTATCTTTAAACTGTTACAATATATCAAAGTAAATATACATTTAATAATGTCATCAGTCTATAAAACGGTACACATCATATTATACATATACATCAGGACATGAGTGTTTTTAGACTATTTGATATATCAAGTAATGGAAACAAATATGGATAAGAGTCGGTTATTGCAATTTTTACATGTTGTGAAAACTGCTTAAACTGTAAGATAAAAAGATTACTTGTTTTATTTATAAGGGATTGGAATATAATTGGATTTTTACCGACGACTTCATTATTTATTATGTTCGTTATCGAGGCTGACACAAAAAAATCGTTTGAAGACTTGCAGACCTGATGGGCTGTATCTGAACAACACTTCACTATATATGTCATATTAGTACCTTACTGACCTTCTGGATTGTATCTAAATGTATTTATTTATTTATCTAAACATAAAACGCACAGCACATTTATCAATTATAGACATTTGTTGAGGCGAGTATTGATAATTTTTTGAATATGGACCTGTGAAAGTAATATTAACAAAGACGTAAATATAACTTTCTCAGGTCTATATGTTATCATATTCACTAAAATCAAAGTCTTTAATTGTTAAATTAGATGCTAAATAATGAATGACGGAACGTATGACAAGTATGCTGATGACAGTTAGTTACCTAGTTAGCTACCTAGTAGTATTAATGTCCGAACATTTAGCAGTACTCAACGTGCAGTAAGAACTTTTAACAGAAATGCCCGTGAGCTTGACTGTATATTTGATTGTACCTTGCCTTCTTTTAAGTTTGATTGTACCTTGCCTTCTTTTAAGTCTGATTGTACCTTGTCTTCTTCTAAGTCTGGTTGTACCTTGTCTTCTTTTAAGTCGGGTTGTACCTTGTCTTCTTTTAACTCTGGTTGTACCTTGTCTTCTTTTAAGTCGGGTTGTACCTTGTCTTCTTTTAACTCTGGTTGTACCTTGTCTTCTTTTAACTCTGGTTGTACCTTGTCTTCTTTTAACTCTGGTTGTACCTTGTCTTCTTTTAAGTCTGATTGTACCTTGTCTTCTTTTAAGTCTGATTGTACCTTGCCGTCTTTTAAGTCTGGTTGTACCTTGCCTTCTTTTAAGTCTGATTGTACCTTGCCTTCTTTTAAGTCTGAAGTCTAAAGGCAGTATGTTTTAGATGATTATTATACTTCTGTATGCATGCTACACTTTTCTTAATATTGCTTGTAAAAAATTATCTGTGATATTTTATTATACCTTTGTTATCATTGTTATCAATTCTGTAATTGCACCCTTGGGTCTGTTGAATTGAAATCAATAAATAAGTATGTAAATACAACAGGCGGAGAGCTTTGTGACGTTGTGTATTTATCCTTACATACTGGTAACACGACAGATAAATTGGCAGAGAGTTTATATTCAAACCATTTTCCATTTATAATATATAAACAATTTAAACAAAAGAATTACTGAAAGTGTGACAAAATAAAGATCTTTACTCAATGGCGTCAAAACATTAAACCCAACATCAAAACATTGATAAAATAATCAACAACAACAACAACCGGGAAAATATAACGTGAGACAGCACGAGCTCACAAATATATGAACAATTTAACGCACACAGCTTCTCATCCATTCAGGCTATATTTTAATTTTGTTAGAGTTTGTAAAAGTTGTCGTTACGGCCAGGCCTATTTACAAACATATTAATGGTAAAGTCTTGGTACAGCCTTTCTGATGTATCGTTATTTTCGTATATTACTTAATCAGACAACACACACTTGTACACCAATATGTTCAGCAGAAACAATATAACACACATTGCTTCTCATCCATTCAGACTATATTTCAATTTGTTACAGTTTTTAACAGTCCTGTATACAAGCATATTAATCGCAAAGTCTTGGTACAGCTTACATCCAAGCCATGTTCTGATGTATGGTTATTTCCGTATATTTTTTAATCAGACAACACACACTTGTACCAATATGTCAAATACCGAAAATCAGCAGTAACATGTCTAAAGCTTTATTGTTCCTTTTCATGAATGTCTGGCTTTGAATGATAAACAAAGTTGTGATGATACATTTCATTGGAACATCTTACATACAGGAGGTTTAGCACGAAGAAACCCCTTCTCACGGAACATCTGAACTACCAATTAAACTTAACTCTAAGTAAAAAACATATTCCTATGAATACTGAGAAAGAAAAAGAAATCCGTTACATTTTGTGGTACAACAGGGGCAAGCCACGTTTATGTAATTGTTTCTCTATTTAAGATAGCTTCTGTAGATTGCACTGAATGTGTCGAGTCCTGTAAAGTTTAAGTAAAACCAAAGTCTATGAGATAACGATTTATCCGAGAGATATAACACAACATGCGCTTGGCATACATACAGCATAACAAGTAATTCACAGCGGGATTTCCACACCTGCACAGAGAAGGGTTATCTTTTTATGATAAGGCAAAAGAATAATTTACATAACAACAAAAAATACAAATGAAAATGATAATTTTTACATAAAATATTTTAAGATACATGTCATGTTGCCACTGTGAAGGGATGGCAACTGAAATAACTTACGGCAATTACAGAACAGAGACTTACATCGAGTGCCTGCCAGAATATCATATATATTGATGAAGAAAAGGTTTTTTTTATACATTATCTGGAGGGAACTTTTTATATAAATTAATCTACCGTATAAATAAAATTTTAGTGTGAGAAAATCTATCCGTTTGACTTTTTAAACTATACGTAAGGTTACATGTTTTGCGTGTTAAGTGTTACTTACTTTTTTGGAGTGTAAATGATTTCAGGCGAACAGATTTTTGAGCTGAATTTCAACACCAAGAATATTTCCAATATTTATAGTATATTGCAATTCCGTTTACTTAGGCATGTGTTTTGTTTTGACAACGGTCCCACTACAAACAGAAAACATTACATCTCGAGCACACACGCATGCATACACTCAAAGGGAGACATTAGCCAAGTGGCATAGGACCAGTAGTTAGCGCCTAAAAAGGCAGCTGCTGCGAATTCCTTAATATTGATTAATGTATATGCTAATTGTATTTATTGTATAAATGTATATCTATGCACTGTAAAGCGCTTTAGAGTGGCTTTATTCTAGCAAGATAAGGCGCTATATCAAATGTTGTATATATCATTATTATCATTAAATATCGATTCAATGGAAGTATGAGGAAGCTGAAATGTTACAGATCACTGGCAAGAGTATAACAAGTATTGATTGTATATTAATTAATTAAAGTGGTTTCCAACTTCCCTTAAATCAATATAGATGTCTATGGCAGTTCAATGGTAAAGCTATTTTAAACCAGAGATGCTAATGAATTTTTTCACGATACTCTAATGATTCTGTTTTGGTTAAATTTGAAAATTGATTAGATGTTATACTCCTGCTATTATAGGAATACCTACCTCCATCTTGTAAGTCTGTCGCAACGTCCTCCTCTTCTAACCCGAAGTGGGACAAAGTTGCAGTTCCTGTCATCTTTTTGGCAAGAACCCATTTTTGGCACCTAGTGGCCGTACTTTCCATGGTCGGTTGATCTATACGTACAGTGCAAGTCAGAGTGTGAAAATGATATGTAATGATGTCCGCTTAGTATAGGAACGAGGTATACTTAATGTCCTTTGTTGACAAAAATAGGGATACGTCCGGAAGTTCCTCTTCAGATGTTTCCGGATTTACTTTGGTGGGAGTGAGCTTGTAGTAAAACGCTACGTGAACATTTCAGGACACACTTACACCATCCTGCAGTATTCCGAATGTATATGTTAAAGTTATTACATTAAAGTTCTAACATGCATCACGTATTCCGAATTGCAGATCAGCCCTGTACATGGATAGTACGTATCTTAATGTATCAAGTTCTCAGTATTTTGGCAACGATTCAAAAGAAAGTGACGAGGAAATAGTTGTTTTCTGTGGTGTGTGATTTCTACACAACCTCTGTTAAATAAGATAATCTGTAATTCTCGCTACCGTCCGTGGTTCAGTATCACGAGGTTGTTTGGGATTGTAGGTAGGTCGGCCTTACACATACGTCCATCTAGTATATAACACCTAAATAGTTATAACTATATACAGAAAGCTTCAAATGCATATAACGAAAGTATGTTACGCTGTGCTGCTTTTCGATATGTAGTTGATTATCAGTTTGTATTTGAGATTTGCAAATCGGATATTATGAACATTAGAAGTTCAAAACGGTAATAGGAAGAGAACAGTATATAGACAGTAAGTTGATATGAAGTACGTTATATAGATATAGAACGTTGATTTACAATACTGTTTACAGATACAACATGTTGTTATAAATTACAGAAACAGTACGTTGTTATAAACTACAGATTCATCACTTTGTTATAAATTACAGATGTGGTACGGTACGTTAATGTAAATTACAGGTACAGCATGCGCAGCTGCAGGTTGTTGTAAGTTTAAGATATATCACTTTGATATAAATAACAGATACAATACCTTGATATAAATTACAGATACAGTACTTTGATATACATTACAGAAAATGCATGTTGATATTAATTACAGATACCAACGCTGTGTCAAAATGTTTCTTCGTAGCAGACTCGTGAGATAATAACTTCTTTGACAAGAATCCTCAACCAGATCTTAATATTTTACATATTATTCAAAGAGTGGCTACGATTGACGCTCTAACCCTGAAGAAGAGTGATATTTTATCAAAAGGTACATTGTCAAAAGAAATATTTGTAAAATTCCCTGCAGGTATAAATGATATTTTATTAAGTCGTGTACTGTTTCTTGTACATGTGCGTGCTGTGGGACAAATATAGAGTGACAAAGGTTAAACATGTAAGGATATTGAGCGTGAACGGAATATTCTGAACTACAAATTAATGCCGTTAACAAACTTAGTCAAAGAATAAGATCAAGTATGCAGGATTCGTTCCCTCATGATTGTTGGAATGTCATCAAGTCATTACCAAAACCACATCTGGTGTCCAGCAGCTTTGCTGCATTTTCTTGTCAAATGCACTAAATATATACAGAACCTTGATATAAATTACATTTCATTGATACATCACGTTTTTCATCAAGTGTACTAATAAAAAAAGTACAGCATGATGATAGAAAATCTTTAAAAAGGAACCCTCATTACAGACTGGGAGAGTAAACAGGTAGTCCGTAATAGGAAGTGGGTCCGCCTCTACATACGGTCACATCAGTAAATGGGATTTGGTGACCAACGGTCTAATGCACAGCAGATAAGTCCTAGTCGTGGTAGAGACCTTGTCTGGTAGAGACAAAGACCGTCTGGTAGAACACACTGGGTTAAAAGTTGATTGATCAACAGAACCAATCTATCCAGAAAATCATAATGCTAAAACAAGCTCTCAAATAGCTAACAACCATGACATGTATACTACACAGACGGAGAAGTTATTTATGTCATATTGTGGCTCTCGATTAGCTAACAACCATGACATGTATACTACACAGACGGAGAAGTTATTTATGTCATATTGTGGCTCTCGATTAGCTAACAACCATGACATGTATACTACACAGACGGAGAAGTTATTTATGTCATATTGTGGCTCTCGATTAGCTAACAACCATGACATGTATACTACACAGACGGAGAAGTTATTTATGTCATATTGTGGCTCTCGATTAGCTAACAACCATGACATGTATACTACACAGACGGAGAAGTTATTTATGTCATATTGTGGCTCTCGATTAGCTAACAACCATGACATGTATACTACACAGACGGAGAAGTTATTTATGTCATATTGTGGCTCTCGATTAGCTAACAACCATGACATGTATACTACACAGACGGAGAAGTTATTTATGTCATATTGTGGCTCTCGATTAGCTAACAACCATGACATGTATACTACACAGACGGAGAAGTTATTTATGTCATATTGTGGCTCTCGATTAGCTAACAACCATGACATGTATACTACACAGACGGAGAAGTTATTTATGTCATATTGTGGCTCTCGATTAGCTAACAACCATGACATGTATACTACACAGACGGTGGAGTTATTTATGTCATATTGTGGCTCTCGATTAACTAACAACCGTGACATGTATACTACACAGACGGAGAAGTTATTTATGTCATATTGTGGCTCCCGATTAGCTAACAACCATGACATGTATACTACACATTCGGAGAGGTTATTTATGTCATATTGTGGACCTCGATTAGCTAACAACCATGACATGTATACTACACATACGGAGAGGTTATTTATGTCATATTGTGGACCTCGATTAGCTAACAACCATGACATGTATACTACACATTCGGAGAGGTTATTTATGTCATATTGTGGACCTCGATTAGCTAACAACCATGACATGTATACTACACAGTCAGAGAAGTTATTTATGTCATATTGTGGCTCTCGAATAGCTAACAACCATGACATGTATACTACACATACGGAGAGGTTATTTATGTCATATTGTGGACCTCGATTAGCTAACAACCATGACATGTATACTACACATTCGGAGAGGTTATTTATGTCATATTGTGGACCTCGATTAGCTAACAACCATGACATGTATACTACACAGTCAGAGAAGTTATTTATGTCATATTGTGGCTCTCGATTAGCTAACAACCATTACATGTATACTACACAGACAGAGAAGTTATTTGTGTCATATTGTGGCTCTCGATTAGCTAACAACCGTGACATGTATACTACTCGATTAGCTAACAACCGTGACATGTATACTACTCGATTAGCTAACAACCGTGACATGTATACTACACAGACGGAGAAGATATTTAAGTCATATTGTGGCTCTCGATTAGCTAACAACAATGACATGTATACTACACAGACGGAGAAGTTGTTTATGTCATATTGTGGCTCTCGATTAGCTAACAACAATGACATGTATACTACACAGACGGAGAAGTTATTTATGTCATATTCTGGCTCTCGATTAGCTAACAACCATGACATGTATACTCCACAGACGGAGAAGTTATTTATGTCATATTGTGACTCTCGATTAGCTAACAACCGCGACATGTATACTACACAGACGGAGAAGTTATTTATGTCATATTTTGGCTCTCGATTAGCTAACAACCATGACATGTATACTCCACAGACGGAGAAGTTATTTATGTCATATTGTGGACCTCGATTAGCTAACAACCATGACATGTATACTCCACAGACGGAGAAGTTATTTATGTCATATTGTGGATCCCGATTAGCTATCAACCATGACATGTATACTACACATACGGAGAGGTTATTTATGTCATATCTAACAACCATGACATGTATACTACACAGACGGTGGAGTTATTTACGTCATATTGTGGCTCTCGATTAGCTAACAACTATGACATGTATACTACACAGACGGAGAAGTTATTTATGTCATATTCTGGCTCTCGATTAGCTAACAACCATGACATGTATACTCCACAGACAGAGAAGTTGGTTATGTCATATTGTGGACCTCGATTAGCTAACAACCGTGACATGTATACTACACAGACGGAGAAGTTGTTTATGTCATATTGTGGCTCCCGATTAGCTATCAACCATGACATGTATACTACACATACGGAGAGGTTATTTATGTCATATCTAACAACCATGACATGTATACTACACAGACGGAAAAGTTGTTTATGTCATATTGTGGCTCTCGATTAGCTAACAACAATGACATGTATACTACACAGACGGAGAAGTTATTTATGTCATATTCTGGCTCTCGATTAGCTAACAACCATGACATGTATACTACACAGACAGATAAGTTATTTATGTCATATTGTGGCTCTCGATTTACTAACAACCATGACATGTATACTACACAGACAGATAAGTTATTTATGTCATATTGTGGCTCTCGATTAGCTAGCAACCATGACATGTATACTACACAGACAGAGAAGTTATTTGTGTCATATTGTGGCTCACGATTAGCTAACAACCGTGATATGTATACTACACAGACGGAGAAGTTGTTTATGTCATATTGTGCCTCCCGATTAGCTAACAACCATGACATGTATACTACACAGTCAGAGAAGTTATTTATGTCATATTGTGGCTCACGATTAGCTAACAACCGTGATATGTATACTACACAGACGGAGAAGTTGTTTATGTCATATTGTGGCTCCCGATTAGCTATCAACCATGACATGTATACTACACATACGGAGAGGTTATTTATGTCATATCTAACAACCATGACATGTATACTACACAGACAGATAAGTTATTTATGTCATATTGTGGCTCTCGATTAACTAACAACCGTGACATGTATACTACACAGACGGAGAAGATATTTAAGTCATATTGTGGCTCTCGATTAGCTAACAACAATGACATGTATACTACACAGACGGAGAAGTTGTTTATGTCATATTGTGGCTCTCGATTAGCTAACAACAATGACATGTATACTACACAGACGGAGAAGTTGTTTATGTCATATTGTGGCTCTCGATTAGCTAACAACCGTGACATGTATACTACACAGACGGTGGAGTTATTTATGTCATATTGTGGCTCTCGATTAGCTAACAACTATGACATGGTTATGTCATATTGTGGACCTCGATTAGCTAACAACCATGACAGGTATACTACACAGACAGAGAAGTTATTTATGTCATATTGTGGTCCCCGATTAGCTATCAACCATGACATGTATACTACACAGACGGAGAAGTTGTTTATGTCATATTGTGGCTCCCGATTGGCTAACAACCATGACATGTATACTACACATACGGAGAGGTTATTTATGTCATATTGTGGACCTCGATTAGC